AGAGAGCTTGAGTGCGGGCTAGGAGGCCTGAGGGGTCCGGCGGCTGGGAGGGGTGCTGAGCGGTGTCCGAAGTGCTGAGAGGCTCGCAGAGCGTGGGGCGAGTCAGCAGGAACAGCCCTGGGACCCCAGGCGCTGCCCACAGCCGCCCCCGCCCCGTCCTGAGCCCTGAGCGGTACCAGCGAGGAGAACGGCGCCCCGCCCAGGAGTCCAGCGTGCTGCTCTCACTTTCTCATCAGCTTCGGGGCGGGCCCGCAGGAGGCGATTCTTTGTCAGGCAGCTAGTGGTCCTAGGCAAAACAAAATTATTCGAGGCAACTCCGTCCAAATCGAACCCTTAATTGTCAATCTTTGCAGATTGATGCCCGCCCTGGGACAGACGAGGGCGGCAGGACAGGCCCTCCAGAACTCTGCCAGGCGGTTTGCTGCAGGAAGAGGGGTGAAGTGAGCAGGCGTGTGGGTGGGCATGGGACAGGAGCGGTGCATGAATCGCATTTTGAACCTTTTACAGGTTGGTTTTTGGTTTTGTGTTTAATATTTGAAAGATCACCCTGACAGCAGTAGGAAGGGTGGATTTTTGGAGAGGGCATGGCAATATTAAACCTGGCACAGAGAGGCTTCCTTGGAGGTGTTTGCAATAATTGCAGGAAGGAACAGGTCAGGGAAAGTTGGGAGGTGAAATCAGTGGAGTCTAGTGACAGTGGATGGAAGGTGTGAATGAGAGAGAATGGAGGGTGACTCCTGGGTTTCTCATATAGGAGAACAAGTGAGTAATTAGCTGGTGGTAACATAGCCACAGGGGATGCAAGAAGAAGAACAGGTTTGGGGAAGGAAATGAGTTCAGTTTGGAACTTGTAAATATCTACACTAATAAAAGAGAAGCATGCAAATTAGCATCACTCTGCTACGCCCACCAGCCAATCAGAGCAACTATGAAAATTAACCCAACAAAGATGGCAGTTAATTTGCATACACAGGTACAGAGTGAAGACTGAAGACTTCTTCGCTGCGGCCGGACCAAAGGCCTGGGTCCCGGATGCTGGAGGAAAACCGGTGCCAACAGCCAGGGGAAGGAAGGCCTATTGCTCGAATCTTCATGCAACGGGCTTCTAGTGTAATAATAAAAGGGTAACATGCTAATTAGACCAGACGTCTTCCAGACATCATTCCGGATGTCCTTTCTGACGAAGCTGGGGCCCGAGGGAAGCTAGCTGGGTCCCAGATGCCTGCAGGTGACCCAGGGGAAGCCAGCCCGGGTCCCAGGTGCCGGAGGGAAGCCGGTGCTGGCAGCCGGGGGAAGAAAGGCCTACTCTTGCATGAATTTTCATGCATCGGGCCTCTAGTGACATTATAATAGGATATTTAAGTTGAGGTGTCTGCCCTGCCAGTGTGGCTCAATGGTTGAACATGGACCCAGCAACTGAGAGGTCATGGTTCGATTCTGGTCAGGGCACATGCCCAGGTTGTGGGCTCAATCCCCAGTGTGGGGCATATACAGGAGGCAGTGGATCGATCAATGATGTTTCTCTCATTGATGTTTCTCTCTATACCTCTCCTTTCCTCTCTCTCTAAAAATCAGTAAAAAACATATTGAGGTGTCTAAACAGCTATTTTATATATAAGTGCAGAAAATGTATACCCAAGCAAGAATAACAAATACATACACATATATGTCATAGGCATATTATCAATAAATTGAAACATTGGGGAAGGATCGTTGATTAAGAAAACTTACATGTTCTCCTGGGAGAAGATGCCACCTAGGCTTTCATAGCCAGAGCCGAGCAGTCCATGCTGGCTCAGAGCTTTGAAGGACAGGCCCATGGTGTTGCCTGACAGGAATGGCCTCCGCAGCATGTCCGGGGGTTTTGTGAGGGGCTCAGGCAGCTGGTGACTTGAGTTGAAGACAGTGCTCACTTACTATTCTAAAAATCCTAGGGTCTTGAAGAATTGTGCTACATGTCCTCTGCCTTTGCTGTATACATGGAACATCAAGCCTGGATGACAGCACACCTGTTGTAAGTAACATGGTTGCTGAAAATTTACATCCACGGCCCTAGCTGGTTTGGCTTAGTGGATAGAGCATTGGCCTGCATACTGAAGGGTCCCAGGTTTGATTCCAGCCAAGGGCCACATGCCTGAGTTGCAGGCTTAATCCCCTGTAGGAGGCGTGCAGGAGGGAGCTGATCAGTGATTCTCTATCATCATTGATGTTTCTATTTCTCTCTCCCTCTTCCTTCCTCTCTGAAATCAATAAAAATATATTTAAAAAAGAAAGAAAATGTATGTCCACAGCTGAGACCTACTGCTCAGAATAAAAGATTCCTTTCAAAATATTCCTGCTCACTAACAAGGCACATGGTCGCCCAAGAGCTCTGATGGAGATGAACAAGGAGATCAATGTGGTTTTCATGACTGCGAACACAACATCAATTCTGCAGCCCATGGATCAAGGAGTACTTTCAACTTTCAAGTCTTATTATTTACAAAATACATTTGGTAAGGCTACAGCTGCCATAGATAGTGGTTCCTCGGATGGATCTGGGCAAAGTAAACTGAAAACCTTCTGGAAAGGATTCACCATTCCAGATATCATTAAGAACATTCACAATTCATGGGAATAGGTCAAAATATCAACATTAATATCAACATTAACAAAGTTTGGAAGAAGGTGATTTCAACCCTCATGGATGCCTTTGAGGGGGTCAAGACTTCAGTGGGGGGAGTAACTGCAGATACGGAGACATCAAGAGAACTGGCATTAGAGCCTGAATATGGGACTGAATGGCAGCAATCTCATGATAAAAGTTTAATGGATGAGAAATTGCATCTGAAGAATAAGCAACAGCAGTGGTTTCTTGGGGAGGAATCCATTCCTGGTGAAGATGCTGTGAAAATTGCTGAAGTGGCAACAAAGGATGTAGAATATTCCAAAACTTAGTTGATGAAGCAGCAACAGAGTTTGAGAGGATGGACTCCAATTTTGAAAGAAGTTCTGTGGGTGAAATGCTGTCAAACAGCCTCACATGCTGCAGAGAAGTTGCTCATGAAAGAGAGAGTCAGTCGCTGCAGCAGACTTTAGTACTGTTGTATTTTGAGAAATTGCCAACCTTCAGCAGCCACCGACCCTGGTCAGTCAGCAGCCACCACGTCAAGGCAAGGACCCTCCATCAGCAGAAAGATCAGGACTCGCTGCAGGCTATGGTCAGCATTTTTTAGCAACAAAGAATTGTTAAATTAAGGTATGCTTATTATACACTGTTTATTAGACATAATGTATTGTGCATTTAATATCTATAATAGATCATAAACTTTTATATGCCCTGGGA